CCACCAGGGGGCAGATGCTCAATGCAGGAGCTGCCCCCTGGTGGTCAGTGCACTCCCACAGGGGGAGCTCTGCTCAGCCACAAGCCAGGCTGATGGCTGCCAGCACAGCGATGATGGCGGGAGCCTCTCCTGTCTCCTCAGCACTGCTAAGGATGTCCAACTGCAGCTTAGGCCTGCTCCCTGCTGGCAATTGGACATCCCCCGAGGGCTCCCGGGCTGCCAGAGGGATGTCTGACTGCCAGCTTAGGCCCAATCCCCCGGGTAGTGGGCCTAAACCAGCAGGTGGACATCCCCCGAGGGGTCCCAGACTGCGAGAGGGCACAGGCCAGACTGAGGGACCCACCCAAGTGCACAAATTTTTGTGCACTGGACCTCTAGTATATATATGTTTCTTAGGGGACTGTAATCTCTGATTCTTCAGACTGGTCTCCACTGTTCAATTATTTTATGCCTGTTGTTGTTTGTCCTCTTTGCTTATTCTTATGGAACAGATTTTTAATATACAGTCATATGTCACTTAATGATAGATATATGTACTGACAAATGTGTCATTAGGTGATTGCGTCATTGTGCAAATATCATAGAGTGCATTTATACAAACCTAGATGGTATAGCCTACTATACAGCTAGGCTGCATGATATAGCCTGTTGCTCTTAGGCTACAAGCCTATACAGCATACTGTAGACAATTATGACACAATGCTAACTATTTGTGTATCTAAACACAGAAAAGGTAGAAAAGTATTATATAAAAGATAAAATATGATAAACCTGAAGAGGGCACTTACCATGAATGGAGCTTTCAGGACTGGAAGGTGTTCTGGCCAGTGAGTGAGTGGTGAGTGAAGGTGAAGGCCTAGGACATTACCGTACACTACTGTAGACCTTAGAAACAGTCTCACAATCCCTTCTGCTTCCTTCCAACAGTGTTAGAAAGAGAACAGTGAAATGGTCAGTGCTGCTCCATGAACAGGGAAGTGGGCTGGATTGGTGGGAAAGACTGAGGAGAAACTGACTGGGAAAAGCATAGATCACCATAATAGTGACTGGCAGGAGGGAGTGAAAGGTGACCTGAGGAAATGGATAAGTAGGAATAAGAAACTGAGATGAAGAGACAAAGGAACATAAAGGATAGGCATGGCAATACAGTTTTGTCTATTGGATGTTGGAGCAGTGGTCAGATTTTTGAACTTTGTAATATTTGTAAGAAAAGAAGGTGTTTAACATAGAGAGGGTGTAGAACTGAGGACCCAATATTTTGACTTTGGAAATTTTTTTGTTGTTGTATTGACCCTACCTGTCACAAAGGCCTCTGTTTGTCATTAAATTAATGCATACCGTAAAACTTATCTATACTTTCTGTCATTACAACCTGAAAATATTTCCATAGTACAGGGACAGGCTATCACAGAAAGTTTTTACTAAAATGACAATGGCACTTAATAGTTGTTAAAAGGGGAAGGGATTGAGAAGTGCAGATTGGTAGTTACAGCACTCTGTCATGAGGCTGTAAAGTACAGGATAGAGAATATCTATATATATAAAAGACTAAGTGACCGTTATGACCAAACAACTGGAATGACCAGAACGACCGAATGACCAGCTGGTAGCAATGATGCGCACTGACTCAGACCTTGCTGCTGGGACCCTAACAGCCCTGAATCCAGTTCACCCGCACCCCGGACTCAGACAGGAGGAAAGAGGGAGCCAAATTCTTTGCAGAATCGGCTGCTGGTTAGCTTGTTGCTGGAGCCCTGACAGCCCTGAATCTGGTTCACCTGCACCCCAGACCCAGACAAGGCGAGATGGCCACAATCAGCCCTGATTTCTGGCCAGGCCTAGGGACCCCACCCATGCACAAATTCGTGCACCAGGCCTCTAGTAGGCAATAATATTGTAATAACTATATATAGTGCCAGTTGAGTACTGGAAATATCGAGGCACACTTTGCAAAGTATATATGATTATCTAGCCACCATGCTGTACACCTGAAACTAATAGAAAATAAAATAAAAAATTTAAAAATGGAAAAAAATCACATTTAAAGAAAAAAATAATTATTACTGTAAGTTACTGCCTGTGGACCTGTGTCCTTATACAGGGTCTTAGGTCCTCCACAGAGAATTTAGAGCAGTGTGCTCTGAAAACAATCAAGCTACCCAGAGGGCTGTAGTACCCTCTAAGTGTGCAGTGCTGGGGGAACAAGCTCCTCTGTGCCAAAGGAAGTCAGTGGTGACAGGCTGGGATGTGATCTCTGCCCTCAAAATTGAGGTGCTGTCAGTGAGAGGCAATCTATTGCCACACCCTGCAGATATTTCTCCCATCAGAGAAAAAACATCTTCTGAACATCTGTCTTTCTATTTCTTACAGAAAATTCAGTTCTATTATAATCTCATGGGACCACCATTGTATATACAGTCCATTGTTGACCAAAACGTTGTTGCGCAATACATGACTATACATGATTGAACACTGGGGAACATTGCCTTACAACCCATGGAGTTAAGTCTCAACTAGAGAGAAATAGTGAGAAAGTTATTTTAATTTGTCCACTTTTGTATGTTTAATAAAGAAAAAACTACACAGAGTTTTACAGCAATTCCTTTGTGTCAGAGTACAGACTAATCCCCTTTTCTTCCCTCTCTCCTCTCTTCTTCCCTCTCCACTCTGTTCTTCTCTTCTCTTCTCTTCTCTTCTCTTCTCTTCTCTTCTCTTCCTTTCCTTTCCTTTCCTTTCCTTTCCTTTCCTTTCCTTTCCTTTCCTTTCCTTTCCTTTCCTTTCCTTTCCTTTCCTTTCCTTTCCTTTCCTTTCCTTTCCTTTCCTTTCCTTTCCTTTCCTTTCCTTTCCTTTCCGTTCTTTTCCTTTCCTTTCCATTATCTACTACAGGCTTGGTGCATGAAATTCTTCTCTGGGGGTTGGGGGTGGGGGGGTCCCTCAGCCTGGCCTGTACCCTCGGGGGATGTCCCACTGCTGGTTTGTGGGAGGCGACCAGCGGTGGCACTGGCCAGCCAGCCCTGCCCCCTGATCGCTGCCGCTGGTCACCTCCCTCTCAGGGGGCACTCAACGCAGGAGCTCCTGCATTGAGCATATACCCCCTGGTGGTCAGTGTGCATCATAGTGACCAGTCATTACACCAGTCATTCCGCTGTTCAGTTGATTTGCATATTAGGGTTTTATTATATTATCTATGTCCTAAGTTCTGTAGTATAACTAAGGAAAAAGGGCACCCAGGGGCCTTGGGATACTGTTGCTCTCTTATCCTACATCAAATTAAAAGGCCTGGAAAGGGTAGGTGTGGGGTGGAGGGGGTCAATGATAAAAAAGGGGGACATCTATAATACTTTCAACAATAAAGATAAATTTTAAAATAAGGTAGGGAAATATTTTTTAGTTATGGTTACAATGTAAAAAGAAATGTACCCAGAAAAAATAACTACTAAGAGAAACTAGAATTTATTTATGCATTTTAAATTCCATATGTCTAAAAATAGTATCTTATTGTAAAAATAAAATGAAACATCCTGTACCTAGTGTCTTTGTGATACCTCCATAGACTGGCATTTGCCACACAAGGATTCTCTCATTAGGAATTGGTTCCAGAACTGGCACCGTTGTGACGGTGCACTTCTGGACTAAAGCTTCTCTTATAAGAATAAGGACATGATCACAATGTACTTATGAGATCAAGACGGGTTCCTTAGCAAGTGCTCCCCTATCAACCACTCTGTTCAATTCCTGTCGCTCTTAATGGGGTTCTAGGAAGGGGATGTCATACTTCTGCTTTGTACGTCTGGCTGATTTTCCTGACCTGAAGTGAATAAAACATTGTTTGCTAATTTTTTTCAACCTAATGCCTCACACTTTACCTTGTTGAAAATCCCTGAACTTTCTAGCTTGTGGTTAGTACACACAACTCAATTTTTACAAATATAGATACCTTATCATTTTGATATTTATTTAGTCATTTTAATGGGAAACTGTATAGTTAAATATTTGGGCTTGAAATGTTGGTCTTTATTAAGTTTTTTTTAACTCTAATCTTTTTTTATATTCTGAATTTTTGTTTTCTAATTCAGTTCTCTATTACACTACATGAAGGATACTATAATCTTTGTGGATTTTCGCATAGAGAAGGGAAGCCATACCACAGAAAGTACTCAATTTCAAAAGAGCTGATTTAAAAAAATAAAGTTTTATATGCTTTCCATATATGCTTGTATTTATAAACCTGGATGAGTTGGCTGTTGTTGTTAGTATGCATTCTTAAGTTTTATCTTGCAATAATAAGCCCTTTCTAATCTGGCCTCATTCTACCTGTTCAATTTAATTTTATTCCAGTTCATCCAAAGCTGCAGCCACACTGAAATTATCAGTTACCTGAACATGCCGTATACATTATGTAGGTATCTATTCATAAAAAGTCTTTGCTCATTTTCTGTGTGTTGAAAAATGTTGTTCAAGTCAAAGCTGAAATGTCACTCATTGTAAGATGTCATTCCATGTTCTATAAGTGAAGTGGGTCCCTTGGACTCAAATGTACATTGGTCACACCGCTATGAAAGCCCTTGTGTTGGGTTGTAATGATATATTTCATTTAACCTATGAAATTCTCAAGTACGCTCATCTTTGCATCCTCTGTGTCCAGCATAGTCACTGTATGTGCCCAGTAAATATGGCCCAATGAATAAAATAAATGAAAACTGTATGATTGCTTCATAGCCAAATTAATTTAAAAATTATATCTATAATTTTATTCAATGTCTTCTCTAAGATACTAATTAAGCACATTTATAATATTTACATATCATTTCATATACTAAAGCTGAAATAAAATGAATATTTGTGAAAATGTCATTGCTACGCTGCTCAATACAAAAATTACCAATTTTTTTTTTCTGCTTTCTCTTATATATGCCCTCTGGACCCAATCCTAGGATCCAAAGATGTTTTACAGTGACTGAGCCAAGAAAGTTTAATCAAACAAAGAGTTTTCACCTTACCATTCCATCTCCGCATTTTGTTCCAGGAGCAACCAGGCCCACGTCTCTAGGATTGTGGTATAAATAAAAGGTTTTGCAGTCAGTGGTGACATTCTTCTTTGGAACCTTCATATGATAGATCTTTTCTTCTCCAAGGAAAGATGAGTGCTGTCCTCCGGTGCAGTATATCTTTCCACATTTGATGTCTCTGGAGAAAAGGGACAGCATTCTCAGTCCTGGGACCAGAACAGAACTTCGGAGACTAGGTTTGCCCTGAAGTGGCCTGGCCACTGTTTTCTAGGCCCGGGCTGGCCAGCGGACTGCGGAAGAGCCAGGAGCGGGGTAGACTGGGGTGCAGTCCAGTCCTGACCCAGGGAACTGAGATGAATAGGCAAAGCTATAAATTGCTCATATTTCTTTCTGATATCTTTGTGGTCCTCACAAATCTATATTAGTTTAAGCTTACAGAAGAATATGTTTATTAGTAATTTGAATTAGCATAACTTGAATCAGGATGCTAGGATTTCTTTCTTATTCTCCCTTGCATAGAGTGCATTAGTTGATTCCTATAATAAACCCGTGAGGTGTGATTATTATAATCTCCGTTTTGAGGATTAGGAAGTAATTGGAAGTAAGGAAAGTTCAATGACTGCCCATTTTCACCTACTGTTGTTTTCAGGCCAAATCCTGTTTCATGGCATGCAAAGCCCTGCCAAGTATCAGCAACAAACACGGACTCAGCTCATGCTTTTAAAAATCAGATCTAACTTCCAATTCTTCCATTTCTCTTCCAACTTCAACTTCTACCTTTCTTGTTATGGCTTCACTCTTTCCTCCTCTCTTCCTCTTTTAACCTTTTCTACTTATTTTCTTCTTCCTCCTGTTTGCTCCTTTCTCTTTTTTATTCCTCCCTTTCCCACAGAAGAACATAACATCTTTCCTATCTTTCCTCCTTGTAGTCTGTGACCTTCAGCAAATGAATACAGTACATAAATGCCAGCTGACACTGTCAGGGATGCGTGCTCTCTCCCTTTCCCCTTCCGTCGTCCCAGTCACCTCAGCAAAAAGAAGTTAACAGCTGACAGAACAAGAGCCGCTCTGATCTGGCAAAACATTCTTGGAGGGCACTCATTTTTCTTCACAAGGCACTTACTTGTCTTCACAGGGAATTAATTTGCTTTTCTTGCTTTTGCAGTATCCGAATTTATCTCCCTTTTTATTCATGATGTAGCAGATATCAGGACTTCCTTTTGCTTCTGGGATGCAAAATGATATAATAAAAGTAAAACAATGAAAGCATGAATATTGTTCATTATAAAATACTTTATTTTTTCTGATGTAAATGAAATTTCAATATTATGTAATGGTGAAGCAGAATGGAATAAATAGCTAATTTAAAAATTATTCTATTCCCTCAGATGATATGTAGTATGGGTATATAAAAGTAATAAACATACCTTAATCTACATACTGAGATAGTCAATTAATATTAGAGGCAATGTCAATTAATATTAAAGGTAATATGTGAAGAGGTGCTAGGAAATATCTTTAAAAAATTACACACATGGCATTATTTTGAACAATAACAGAGAAATAACGACTATTAGCATTATCAGTCACCCACAGTAACTGTCTCTCACCATGATCAAACAATTCGGAGCACTGGTCGTCCCGGGTGGGACATCTCCCCAGGAAGCAGTAGCCTTTTGCATTCTTGCAAGGAGTTCCATTGGCTTGGAATTGGTCCTGCGGACACGCAGAGGAGTGGCCCGTACACGCTTCAGGAAAATCACATTCATCTTTTGCTGGTCTGCATAAGGACCCTGCTTTTTTCATCTGTTGAAGAAAACCAAACAGATTAAATCTTGGGCAAATCTGGATAGGTAAGGTTCAATAAATAGGAGGAAGATTGACCCATTTAATTTATCTCAAAAAGTTTTTAGGACTGAATCATACCTTCCTTTTCCATTCCACTGAGAATTATCATCATTTGTGAATGCTTTGGCTTTTATTCATTTAAGCAATGCCAAAATGGTGTTTTTGAGATTTGGTATTAGGACAGCTTTGGGCAGAGTTGGGATGGACATAAATTGAGAAATGAATAAATGTTCTGTTCATCTTGTCTTCTTCAATCCTTGCTCCAGCACTTCTCCCCTCCCCCAACCACCACCACACACACACACACACACACACACACACACACACACACACACCTGGAAGCCCCTGCCTATCAGGAGGAATCTCCATTCCCAAGAATCCGATTTCTCCCATGAAGTAGAACCATCCCCTGACTTCACTGGAGGGCACTGCATGGATGTATTCCCTCATTCAGCCATTCAATCTGCATTGAATTGTGCTGAGTTCCGAAACTATTTCAAGATGAGTAAGACATGCTTCCCTTTCCCTTGTGATTTCACAATCTAGTGGCGTAAAAGAAGTGTCAATAAATGCTTGCACAGAGCCATTGGGATTTCTGGTCATCTTGCCTAGAAACCTATCTCCAATTCCAGCATAACCCTTTTCCCTATTTGTTCACTCTTGTTGGGATGCCAATCCACACCCCTACCCCAACCTGAGGTTGAATAGTTTGGTAATGATTTAAAAGAAGCAAGAGTAATGTTAGCCATATAACTCCATTTCTGAAACACCAAGCAATGCATACCCACTTCTCCACTTCCCAGACCAAAACACTGCCCAGTACTTAGAAGTCAGAGCATCTCAGAAGAGGTGCTGTTGTGTACAAGCAAGCCGAGCCCGAGTCTGGGATTCGTGGCACCTTCCTCTCTGTAAAAAATCAATAAAATATATTTTAAAAAAAGAAGCAAGAGTAACGTTAGCCATGTAACTCCATTTCTGAAACACCAAGCAATGCATACCTACTTCTCCACTTCCCAGACCAAAACACTGCCCAGTACTTAGAAGTCAGAGCATCTCAGAAGAGGTGCTGTTGTGTACAAGCAAGCCGAGCCCGAGTCTGGGATTCGTGGCAAAGGATTTTAGTGGTCAGACAGCACGTTGGTCCTTTGTTCACATAATCAACTACAGACAGAGAAATCTGGAGCTAGCAACGGATCTTACTTGACAAGATTCACAGCATTCTCCTTCTGCACAAGTAAATCCTGGCTTCAACAGACACTTGTTGGCATCACAGCAAGGATTAGTGCACTCCTGGCAATAACCAAAAATTAAAAATCAGAAATTGGATTGCAGTTTGGCTCCTGTTTGAAGAGTTAATCAGCTGTGCTTCTGAGAAATTTAGCATCACTTGTGTTTCAGAGTTAAATACAAATGCATGGTCCTTAGCTACGACAGCTATACAAGGTGGGGCAGAAGTAGGCTTACAGTTATTCATATGGGAAATAATACAATAATAAATAAGAATACAATAATGAACTCTGTGTTTCGCATACTTGCTACTGTAAACCTACTTTTGCCAAGCCGTTATAAAGACTACTGCTTGCCATTGGTGTTGGGGACTTTTACTTTGTCTCCTTCCCACCTGGTTGCTCAGTATCCCAAAGTTCATGACCGCCCATTCTCCTGATGACCGCTCTCCGGGAGGGTCTTGCTGCTTCTCTATTCTAAAGGTTTGATGTGAGATAATACAACTTCTGAAGATCTGATTTCACATTTTCCTTAAGAATCCAAGTATTTCAGGCTGACATTTACTTTTTAATGCATAATTAAATAATAACAGCAAGTTGGACACATAGGCTCTATCTGCTCATAATTTAAACTGCAAACAGAACTGTCTGCATCTGGTCATGTGAGTTACTTCATATGTGAGGGTGAAACTGTGAACCATTACAAAGAAACTGCATGGACAAAGGCATCAATTTCAAAGTTAAAGCCTCTGTACATTTCATGAAAGACATTTGAAGACTTGATGTTTTGTAACCTATGGATGTTTTGTAACCTTGATGCTTTGTTCCCACTCTGATTGTGGAGTCCCTTAATTGCCATCCTACTAGACTTTTTTAAAAAATTAAATTTATTGGGGTGACATCTGTCAACATATCATATAGGTTTCAGGTGTGGGTTTCTTACTTTTTGGAGCTGTGTCACGTCTCCAATGCACATACTCAGAATGAGGTCTTTGGACCTGCAGCATCAGTATAATCTTTCAAGTTGGTAGGAATGAAATATCTCAGCCCACTCCAGACCAATTGAATAAAAAAAACACATTTTATCAACATCTCCAGCTGATGCATCTGTACTTGGTAATTTGAGAAGAAATTGTCTAATACAATTTCTTGAAATAAATAACTCTATGTTGAAGAAAAGCTGATGAAGAGTTACTTTAAAATTTGCCTTAAAGGATTATTCTAAATGTTTCAGAGACTAAGACTGCAATATATATATGAAAGGTTAGAAGTTTCCTGCTCAATTATAAGACAGTTTTTTTTAATAACATGAGCTGTCACACCAGGCTATAGCTAGCCTCATAATTTCCAGAGTAAAACAGGATTGACTGTGAAGGATTTTGTAGAGTGAATTCCTACTGTTCATGAGAGACCAGAGAATGACACAAATGGGCCTTACTTACAAGAAGAGCCAATCTATAATAATAAAAGGGTAATATGCTAATTAGACTGGACGTCATTCTGGATGTCATCCCGGACATTCTTCCAGACCAAGCTGGGGCTGGAGAGAAGCCCGGGTCCCGGGTGCCAGAGGGAAGCCGGTGCCGGCAGCCTGGGGAAGGAAGGCCTACTCTTGCACAAATTTTGTGCATCAGGCCTCTAGTTAATATATAAAGCAGTGACTGTGATGGAGTGGACCTCCAGCAAGATCATTATACACAATTTATTACTCAGTAGGAAGCCTTTGATAAGGCTGCACCAACAGCCTGTTTCCAAATGAGAAAAAAGAAGCACGGTCTTTAAAGTTTTACAAGGAATTTCATGGTTGATTAATGGCTACATCCCTGCCTAGGTTCTAGCCGAGCACAAACTTTGTACTTTAAAGACGTGCCCTGGCCAGTTTGCCTCAGTGGATAGAGAGTCGGTCCCGGGTTTGATTCCAATCAAGGGCACATGCCCAGATTGTGGGCTCCATCCCCAATGGGGGGCATGCAGGAGGCAGCCGATCAATGATTCTCTTTCATCATTGATGTTTCTATCTCTCTCTCCCTCTCCCTTCCTCTCTGAAATTAATAAGAATATATTTTAAAAAAAGAAAAAAAACAGCATCATTTGCAAATACCTGAGCAGGGCCACAATCACATTCTTCTCCCTCATCCAAGTTCTTGTTTCCACAAGATGGAGAATCATTTGAGTTATCAATAAATGGAACATTAAACATGCATGCTGGCTCATAATCTTTCAGGAATTTCTCATACTGTATTCTGTTGCATTTACTGAATTTTAGTGCAGGAATGCTAGAGATAAGTTAAAAGTAAAGATTAGTCATATCATTGCATACTGGTAGAATAACTGTGAAAATTTTATAAATAATTTAGAAAGAAAAATATAAATAGTCAACTCTAAGAGTCTATTTTTCTTACTCTTGCCTTTCTGTTACAGCAGAGTGACTGAGCTCTTCATTATATAAAATGTCTTATTGAAACACAGCCAACAAATGCTATTATGGTGAAAATGCGTTGACTTTATCAGCACCAGAAAATCCTTCATGAACCTTGGTTTAGGCTGATAGTCCTTGCTTGCTGCTCCCATATCACTTTTTATTTTTTCTTGAACTAATCGATATACTTGGTTATCATCCATGTAAGATCACAGGCTTCTCAGTGCAAAGACTGTATCATGTTCAATTTTTTTTTTAAAGAAAAGCACCTGTTGCCCTAGCCTGCTTGGCTCAGTGGATAGAGTGTTGGCCCTTGGACTGAAGGGTCCCAGGTTTGATTCCTGTCAAGGGCACATACCTCAGTTGCAGGCTTGATCCCTGGCCCTGGTCGGGGGGCATGGGGGAGGCAACCAATCAGTGTGTCTCTCTCATATCAATGTTTCTTTCTTCCCATCTCTCCCCTTCCTTTCCACTCTCTCTAAAAAATCAATGGGAAAATATCCTCAGGTGAGGATTAACAAAAAAATGAAAAATAGAAAAAGAAAGGCACTAGTTACTACAGTGGCTGGAACAGAGTAGTTGTCTATAAATATTTGTTGAAACAAACTATTCATTTAATAATATGTAACACATCTTAGGAATGGGATATAGTTTTAGAAAACTGAAATTGATCTCCCTCCTATTTTCTTTTTGTTTTGACTCCTTTCCATCCTTATTGACACATAGATCAAATAGAGATGGATGTTTAGAGTCCTGAATACATTAGATGACTAGATTAGGATGGTGGGGCCCTGAAAATAAATGACTAATTATGTGGATAACCATATAAAATTAGATATCAGTTATTAATTCTTCCTCTATGCTAGTCACTATGCTTGGGTCCTTTAGCTATTTTCCTCCATTTAATCAATATATAGAAGTACTGGCTACCATCAAGTAATATTTTTTCTACTTTATACAATGCACTACGTGCACCTACTGTGAGAGAGTTCAGAGATGTGCAAGGCTTGGGGCCTGACTACAGCTAATTCAATGCTGGGAGCAAGCTGGACATCCTCTCATTCTGTCTCTAGGGAGTGCCGTGTATGTGTCTGGGACTTTTCTAGACAGTGGTTCTATAACAATGAACAAAGAAAAACAAAACAAAACAAAAAAACCCTGACCTCATGATACGTGTATTCTAATGGAGGAGGAAAATAACTAAATATGTAAAACATAGACTATATTAGAAAGTGGTTAATACTAAAGGGGGGATTAAAGCAAAGGGTGAGGGTGTGCATACTGTTAGAGTATATCTGTGAGGGGACAGGATTGAAAAACTGGATCAGGTAGCTATGAAGGCTTTGCGGAGAATGACGTTTCAGTAATGATGATAAACCAAGGCATGTGGAGTGTGTCCCTCTCCTGAGCAGCTGGGTATAGTGACTAATTGATTGTCATATACTTTTGCAATGTGCTCAGATGGAGTTTTAGAATTTCTCTCATTATATCACTAGGAGATACACTACCAATGGGTATGATTTAGTTCCCTGAGGGAAGCACCTTACCGTAACTGCTTTTGTAATAGATCTTCTGGAGTATATTAGGAAAAATTCTATATAATCACAATATACCCCTACAATGTAGAATTTGAATCAAAAGTCACTCTCAAAATATTTTAATGTGTTCTCTATATCATTTGAGCCTTACCTTCCACCTTTATCCATCACACATGTTCCCAGCGTGCAGGTACATGGGTAATCGTCATGCTGCATCCCAAGGTTATGCCCCAGCTGATGGGCCATTCGGCTTGCAATCACATTAAGGTCAGGTAAAAGATCCTGATGCCAAAAGAAGATGTCATTAGACATTTCTACAAGACAGCACGCTATAGGAAATAGTGCTTTGAACTAATGGTTGAAACCTGTTTTCTAGCTTCTGGTTAACTGATACTTATTTGAGAGGCCATGGACTTACCTCCCTCTTCTGCCCCTCAGTTTCTTTAATTTTATAATGAGGTTGGACAAATGATGTTTTGAGTGGCTCTAAATCTACCATTTTGAAATACTTTTTTGTGGTATAATAATGGTCATTGTTGGAGTTATACAGACACATTCTTACAAATAGCTAAAAATTATTAACTAATGCTTTACCCAATTAAATAAACATTACTACCATCCATATACCAGATAATCAAAGGGGGTAAAAATAAAAATATGTGTGGTTCATGTTTTCAATGTGCAGTCTCACATTGCACAAAATTGTTATGCAATCATGAGAATGGAGTTTCTACTTGAAGAAAACCAGAAGAGTCAGTGCTGCAAAATCCAACACAAAATTGATTGTTACCTGTTTGTAGTTCTATTTAACATTTTAATCTTTATATTATTTTCAAAAATATGAATTTCCAAAGGGGATGGAATATCAGGTTACTGTAAAAGTAAAATACCACTAATTTGGTAATTTCATCTTGCTCATTTAAGTTTAAAATATGCTCTAGGTTATAATTTCATAATTTAAGTGGTGACTGCCTATTAATGATTAGGTTGACTCTTTATGCAACATTTATGTTATTAAAATTCCATGATTCCATGGGCAAACACATAATCATACAAAGAATCATACAATAAATAGTTCATGAATTCATTTTAATAAGTTCTAGCTTTTAATTTCAACATCGTAACAAGACTGGGCTGAGCATTGCAATCATTAGGTAGGCACTAAAAAAAGTAATCCAAGTCTTAATGTTTTCAAATATTTCTTTAATACTGTTACTTGGACAGTACTTACTAGAAGCTCAGTGACTTGGGAAAGGATCAGATAAACAAGGATCAGAGTCAGCAGTGTGAAGGTCTTATGCTTTTGGAAAAGAAATTGCAAGTCTGCCTTGATGTGATATTTTATATGACCTATGCAATTTCTTTTCAGCACAAGAACAATTATTCTCACTTGCTAAATCAGTCGAATTTAATGGACTTTACATGTCCTGTACACAACTCTATTTAATATGCAAAATAACTTTTTAAATCTTTGCATGTTAATTTCTATATGATGTTATCTTAAACTATGAACACTGCTTTACCTTTATTATTCATCTATAGTTTTTTTTATAAAACATTTCCTTTCTCATTTAATAAAAGCAACATGGAAGTTTGATCATGACATATGTTGGTGGGGATATATTAAGGAATGCATACTTGGTCCCTTTCACTAGGACACAGAATATTACAGAAGTTTAATTCAAACTTTTTATTAAGTAGTATAACATAAATAAACACAGCCCACCTTGACGACACTGCAGGAATAATAGGGCAGGCACATACCCCCTGGATAAGAAATTCCTTGTGCATTGGTATAAAGCCACTTCCCACTATAAACAAAATGAAAATACACTCTTTAATATGAGATAGTAGTATAATTAATACATGCATTGAACCACAGTGAACTCCCACAATGCTAGCGCCTTTGCACATGAAAGTGTCTTTTCTTTTTCCTGGAGTTAAGGATGACTTCAGTTGACATTAAGCTCATTTTAAAACTGCGGCATATTAGATGCATTGAAAAGTCAATGCAATATTTAGTTGAAATCATATGAAAGTACTTTCTTAAAAATAACAATGATAGAGTCCCATTTTACTTGACTTCAGTTTACCCTGTATCCAGCTCTGGATAAAATAACTTAAAAAAAAATTAAAATGTTTAGAGCCTGGCCAGTGTGGCTCAGTGGTTGAGCATCACAGTTTGATGCCTGGTCAGGGCATATGCCCAGGGTGCAGGCTCAATCCCCAGTGGAGTGTGCAGGAGGCAACCGATCAATGATTCTTTCTCATCATAGATGTTTCTATCTTTCTCTTCCTCCCTGAAATCAATAAAAATCTATATTTTAAAAAAGGTTCAGAGGTAAAAATGCAACATAGTGAATGGACTCAACACCATGATTAATTGGTTGTGTTTGAAAAATTTTAAAAATGTCGAATCAGCCATAAAAAAATATAGAGAATTTGATAGCTATGATCAAAGATTTAAAAGAGTTGTCATGTGAAAACAGAACTAACCCTAGATTAACTGAAAAGACAGATGTAGATGTGTATATCAAAGAAATCTAAATCTGGTATCTTTCAAGAAAAACATTTAGAGTTGGAACACCTAAAGAGAGTTATCATGGGCTGGAAGGCCACTCTTGGAGTATAGTAGGGATTTACACACAAGAAAGGTGGTCAGGCTGGATGACCTCTTTTAATCTTTAATGTGTTCAGCCAAGAAGATGTACTCTCCAGCTGGCATTGCTCAATGATTGAGCTCCCATGAACCAGGAGGTCACTGTGTGATTCCCAGTCAAGCACATGTTTGGGTTGCAGGCTTAATCCCCAGTAGAGGTGGTGCAGGAGGCAGCCAATCAATGATTCTCTAGCATCATTCATGTTTCTATGTCTCTCTCCCTCTCCTCCCTTCCCCTAGCTGAAATCAATAAAAAATATATATAACATATACATATGTATGTATAATATATGTGTGTGTGTGTGTGCTTATATATGTACGAGAGGCCCAGTGCACGAAATTTGAGCACTCGGTGGGGAGGGTCCCTCAGCACAGCCTGCGCCCTCTCGCTATCCAGGAGCCCTTGGGAGATGTCCGACTGAAGGCTGTCAGTTGGACATCCTTAGTGCTGCCATGGAGGCAAGAGAGGCTCCTGCCACCAGTGCTGTGCTCATCAGCCATGAACCTGGCTTCTGGCTGAGCAGCGCTTCTGCTGTGGGAGCGCACTGACCACTGGGGGCAGCCCCTGCATTGAGCATCTTCCCCCTGGTGGTCAGTGTGCATCATAGCAACTGGTCATTCTGCCGTAGGGCTGAAACTGGCTCTCTGACATCCCCTGATGGGTCCTGGATTGCCAGAGGGGTCAGGCCAGGCTGAGGGACCCCACCGGTGCACGATCGGGGCTGG